TATCACTTCATTTCAGAAAACTCTCTTCATTTCAGGTCACTTCATTTCAGAAAATGTTTTCAATCTTAGCCACAAAGTATTAAGTGAAACTGAGATAAGTGTTGTGAGTAAAGGCTTACAGTTTGTTCCAACTACATTTAAGATAGATGAAGAGGATTTAAGGAAAGACTTTAACGAATTTACCCGTAGAATGCGTAATAAATGGCATTTCAGAGATAACGTAACAGCGGACTTCAGTGAAATTCCGGCATTTCGTCCTAAATCCACCTGGACACCACCTAAAGGTTGTCCGTCCTTAGAACTATTCTTAAGTCAACTTGAAAAAGAACTGTTTGAGTGTGTACCGCAAAAACTTTGGAAAAACAATCTTAGTAAGATTGAGTGGCTAGCTTTGAAAACATTGACTGAAGATAACAGTATAATTATTAAACCAGCGGATAAAGGGTCGTGTGTTGTGGTCTGGGATAGAGATGACTATTTAGCAGAAGGATATTCGCAACTAAGTGAAAATAATGTTTACACCAAAATGGAAAGGTTTTCGGAAGAAACTGTGATGTCTTTGACTGAGGAAAGCAACAACATGTTTCATAAGCTGTATAATCAAGGATGCATTTCGAAAGACGAATTTAAGTATTTTTCGTACGATTTTAAAAATTCGTGTGCACTGGGGAGGCTATATCTTTTACCTAAGATTCATAAAAGGCTTCGAAATGTACCCGGACGTCCTGTTATCTCTAATTGTGGGACTCCTACAGAGAGGGCGTCTGAATTCTTAGATCACCATCTTAAACCCATAATGAAAGCAGGGAAGTCCTACATTCGAGATACAGGACATTTTTTGGATAAATTAAAAGAAATAGGTAAAGTTCCGGAAAATGCATTGCTTGTAACTGCTGATGTTACAAGCCTCTATCCCAGTATCCCACACGAGGATGGTCTGCGAGCACTTCACACCAAGCTAGAGGAACGTGAAGATAAAACAGTGTCATCAGAAAGCCTTATTAGTTTAGCGCAATTTGTCCTTAAAAATAATTATTTTGAATTTAATTCAGATGTTTATCGTCAAATTTCTGGGACAGCCATGGGCACAAAATTTGCTCCTCCGATATATGCATGCATTTTTATGGATATGGTGGAGACTGAGTTTTTAGAACAACAAGAAATAAAACCTTGGGTGTGGTTACGGTATATTGATGACATCTTTTTTGTCTGGTTAGAAGGTGAAGATAAACTGTTGCAGTTTAGGGAAAAACTTAATACGTTCCATCCTGGCTTGAAATTTACATACGAGTACTCGCAGACTAAAGTGAATTTTCGTGATGTTTCGGTGGGAATTGATGCTGGTAGATTTATTACAAGTCTTTTTTGTAAGCCAACTGATTGCCATCAATATCTACATTATGAGTCATCACACCCTGCGCACGTTAAAAGATCTATCGTATATAGTCAGGGTTTGCGCATCAAGAAAATTTGCTCGCGTGAAGAGGATTTTGAGAAACACTTACAAGAACTGTCTAGTTGGCTTAAAAATAGAGCATATCCAACATGGCTCATAGAAAGAGAATTTAAGAGGGTCAGGGAATACAATATTGAAGCGGAAAGTAATATACTTAGAGAAAAAAGTTGTAAGACAGGAGTGCCTTTAACTATAGCTTTCCATCCTTTGTTAAAGCACTTTGGTTTGGTAATTAAGAAAAATTTGCATATTTTGTACTTAGACACTGAAGCTCGTAAAGTATTTACCCCTGAACCATTTACGGCGTTTAGAACAAGCCGTAATTTAAAAAGTTACTTAGTTAGAGCTAAGGTACCACCATTAGTAAGAGAGAAAGGATGTAAGAAATGTAATAAACCCAGGTGCTTGACGTGTCAAAATATTCACGAAACCGACACTTTTAGGTGCACAGCTGATGGTAAACAATACAAAGTGAACCATCATTTAAACTGTGACTCAAAGTGTGTGGTTTATCTTTTGACATGTAAAGTGTGTAAGAAGCAATATGTTGGTCAGGCGACAGATAAATTTCGCTTTCGATGGAACAATTATAAATCTTGTCAAAGGAAAGCAATGTCCAACAAAGCTCATACACAAGCCTTTTTTCATTCGCATTTCTTAGGTGAAAACCATAATGGCTTAATGAATGACTGTGATATAGTCATAATTGATAAAACCAACCCAGCAGAACCAACGATTAGGGAAATGTACTGGATTAATAGACTTATGACAATGTACCCCTCGGGGTTGAACATTGAACAGGATTCTGAGGAGTATGAATAATTATGTTCGTCTGGTAGGGTATACAAGTAGGGGTTTATGTTAACGATTTTTACTTGGAAGAAGACAATAAAGTCGAAACGTCAATATGTGTTAGTGATTAACTTATATATATATATATATATATATATATATATATATATATATATATATATATATATATATATATATATATATATATATATATATATATATATATATATATATATATATATATATATATATATATATATATATGTATACAGGGTGTATCAATAATATCCTCACATAAAGTGTAAATTTCAAAGCGAATATGAAAGTTAGACATTTATACTACCATTCGTTCGAAATCGCGATCTTTCGGCTATTTTATAAAGTTTATTTTATAAAATTTGGAGTTATTGTTGGCGAGCTGTGTCAATTTAAGTAAGTGCAATTGGAAAATTAAAAAACGTAGATGTGTTGAATTCACAATTTATTTAAACGTTCCAAAATATATATATATATATATATATATATATATATATATATATATATATATATATATATATATATATATATATATATATAATTTAAGGTACAACAATAAAAAAAATCCTCTAAGCATCTTTATTACTAAATAGTTTCGTACCACTATTTATTACCACTATTTACCGCTTTTTATTTATTTTTTCGTACAACTATTTTTACTTTCGTACGAAACCACTTAGTAATAAAGATACCTATATATATGTATATATATATATATATATATATACAATAAGTATTGGATAAATTATTCCTTTGATTGTGATTCGGAGGGTGTAATTTATGTATTAAGATGTATCAGTTGTTCTAAGATTTATGTGGGAAGTACGATAACATCTTTTAGGAAGAGGTTTAATAATCATAAGAGCTCAATGAGGAAGTATGAACAAGGGGGCAGAAAAATGGCTGCGGAGCATTTATACGCACATTTTTTTGGCCCAGGGCATAAAGGTTTGGACGATGTTAGGGTTATAATTATTGATAAAACCAATATTGGTAAGCCTACACAAAGGGAAGCATTTTGGGTATACAAATTGGACAGTTTTGTACCTAGGGGATTAAATATGAGAGATTTTGATTGATTGTTGTATATAATTAATAGGGTTATATAAAGGACATTAGGCCATTGACTTCGTTATTCATCCTTGATGAAGGGGCATGCCCCGAAACGTTGGTTTAGAATAAATGTTGTAATAAAAAAGTTTAGTTTGTGATTTATTTATATTAATATGATATTGAACTTGATCGGAGAAGGGTTGGTGATTTATATAACTGTGTATATATAACTGTGTATGTATATATATATATATATATATATATATATATATATATATATATATATATATATATATATATATATATATATATATATATATATATATATATATATATATATATATATATATATATATATATATATATAATGAGTGACAAGGAACGAAATCTGCCTCGGCCTTTTAAACATTAATAATATTATATACAAAATAAAAGCCACGACCAAAAGAAATTAGAATATATAATTCAAAAATTTAAATTTTCGACTGCATGTAACAGCCTTCGTCAGAAACTAAGTACAAACTAAATCAAATAAGTCTCTTATATATCCTATGTGTAAACTAATTAGAAATTCTAATTACAAGATGGTAAATACAAATGCATTGGTACTATTGTTGCACGAAGTCGTGATGACCATTAAGTCCCCCCTGGTTGGTTAACAAGGTACCAATCCAGAAATTCTCACATTCTCTAAGAGTGTGATGCCTTTGATCAATCAACATAAATTTTAAACTAGAGTGGTCAGCACCATGGCAATCCAAAAAATGATTGACAATAGCACACGTTCTCCGCTTACGTTTTATGTGTGACTTATAATTAGCAAGTTGGGTCTTAAAATTTATGGTAGAACCTACACCTTGCAGACCACAAGCCACACACTGCGCAAGATATACTACATTTTCAGATCCACATGTGAGAGATTTACCAATTTTAAAAATCTTCTTAGTAATCACTGAACGAAAACTACTTCCAGAAACAAGAAAATTTTTGCAGCAATCGCAACGCTTGGCCGAACACTTATAACAACCAAGTGAATCCCCTATGTTCTTATTAATATACGGATTAGATGGTGCTAATAATTCTTTTAAATTGGCATTACGCTTATATGAGACACGAAGAGCTCTATCCGGCAAAATCTCTCTAGCATCTGGATCATAATCTATAACCGGTCTATGTTTCCTAAACAATTCACGAATATCAGGGGCCCTAGGATTAAACTTGACACTAAAAACACAATGTCCACCGTCAACCTTCCTTCTACTCCTGCGAGCTTCTTCCCTGGTTATATCCGTAACTTCTTTAAATTTCTCTACAACATGTGTTTTATCGTGTCCGCACTCAAGTAAATATTGAATGTATTCCTTACTTCTTTCCCGAAAATCATTCTCATCGGAACATATCCTACGTAACCGCAAAGCTACACCCTTAGCAATGCCACGTTTTTGCGAACCGGGATGACACGAATTGGCGTTAAGATATATGTGCGGGTCAGTGGGCTTACTATACACTGATGTTTCCAACCGGTTATTGGAAATAGAAATAAGAAGATCCAAAAAATGCAAAGAACTTCCTCCCACGTCCATGGTAAACTGTAAATGCGCGTCAAACGAATTTAAAAGCTCAAAAAATTCATTAAGTCTCAACACTGTACCCCGCCAAAGTGCGAACGTGTCATCCCGGAATCGGAACCAAGACTTCAACTCAGGATACGAAGTCTTAGATTCCAACACTCTTCTGTCTACATATTCGGCGA